GTCGATGTGACGCAAATTAGGATGGCGCGGATGATCTTTCAGTACGACTATGCGTCCAAGGGGGTCGAGGCGGTGTTGGTTAGGGTGCCCAAGGATGGAGATGCTCCAAGTGTCAGTGTGGCGCTGCCAAAGGAGATTGATTTAGAGAAGAAGAGAGAGGTGGAGGTGACGATTTGGACCGGAAGGGACGATATGGACGTTGTCGAAGTTGCGGTTCTGTCGTCGTCGGATGCGGATGGTGTGTGTCTGGTCGATTGCGGGAAGGCTAAGATCTCAGCTGGGGAAAATGCGAAGCTCGACATAGCGCAAAGCTCTGCTGAGGCTTTGGTTCTAAAATCGCTCTCGAAGCACACGACAACATCCATCACCCTGCCCTTTGTCCAAGTGCCAGAATCGGGCATTCTCGAAGGACAGATTACTTTAACCTATACCACCACGTCAGCAACCGCTCGCTATGCAAACGGAAGAAAACGCACCTTGCGAACGCCCCTGTATCTCCGCACGGCTCTACCTTTGGGTGTCAACGTCCAGGATTTCTTCCGCACCTCTTGCCTTCTCTCCAAATTCACCATTTCTGCCGGGGGAGGGGGTTCGATTCGGTTGCAACCGGTATCTCTTGTTGCCGAGGAGGCAAATGGCGCTGGTCAAGAAGCCGGAGGATACACGATCGAAGCGTGCTCCAGCGAACGAGAGGCTATGGTGACGCCTCGTCAGCCCGCCACGTACTTGTTTCGCGTTTTCAAGACCAATAGTTCCAGCGAAAGGCGGGAGGGGGGTAAGCGACTTAGGTTGGTAGTTCGTTACAGGGCGTTGCAAGAGGATGCTGTGGCTTGCGCTAGTCGAGCGATGGACATTGTGATAGAGGAGAAGGGGGAGGAGTTGCAAGAATTGAAGAAGGGATTAGCGGGGAGACGACTTCTGGATGATGCGATGGTGCGGTACGTTAGAGATCGTTTGGACCTTCCTGCGTACTCTATTAGTGGTCGAATTCGCACGGGGACGATGGACACTGCTTGGTGGAGACAGGAGCTTCGCTCGTGGGGTCAATGCAGCCTCACTTTGTCTGCTTTGCTCTCTTTGATTTCGACTACGCTCAACAGCGTCCTCCCCACTACTACTGTCGAAGAGGCAGAAGAAATCTGGCAAACTCTTACGATCCCTGTCGAAATTCCTACGGTTGACTACGTCAATGCCGTTACGCTTACTCTTGCAGATCAAACAAGCACGGCCATCAATAATAGCGACATTGTTGTGGTGGGACAACCTGTTGAAGTTATAATTTCTATCAGGACTACGTGTCGATGGTCTAATTTTGATGTTACTGGAGTGAACAAGGAGGGGGAGGAGGGAATGATGGTTTATGATATATTGCCAGATTTTGAAACGTGGATTGTAGATGGGATGAAGAGGGGAAGTTTTCGTGTTTTAGATCAGGGTTGTTTTACGCTAAAAGTGAAAATCGTTCCTTTGCGGATGGGGAGGCTTCCACTACCAAATGTTATGGTTAGACCTTTGTCTAGTGTAACTGTTGACTCAGTCCAAAAGGAAAATGGTCAAAGTTACCATACTTATACAACAAATTCAGCCCACAGATTAATCGCTATCCCTCCAAAACTTACAAAACCCTTCTTCATCCCTTCCACATAACAACATATTTGTAAACACACCTCATCAAATCCACTTTCCCAACAAACACCGTCTCATGTATAACACTAACCCGTCCAAAACAAAAACCCACATTCACATCCAACATGACGACTTCGACTCTGCAAGAACCCGATCCATTGTTCCATAAGCTTCTGCAAAACCAACAAACAAGTGTACAGTATGTGCACTTGGCTCGATCAATCCACTAAATGAATGCGTGAATTCTACCAGAAACCATCATCCTCATCACCAACGCCACCTCTACTTTTCGAACTGTTGACAACTTGAGATGTATACATGTGTTGAATTTGTTCTGGACTTGTACTTTGCTCTGGCGTTTTATCGTCTCTGATCCTGATGAATCGAGGAAATCTTAGACTGACACCTCTCTGTTCGATCCAACCTTTTGCGGCTGTGTATACAGGGCTAAGACTTAAATCTGCCGTGAGAACCTCCCAGACGATTTTGGCTTGGAAATAGACGTCTGGTTTTGCTTCTCCGACGTCGTAGTATCCCTTTTTCCCGGAGATTTCGAGCTCTTTGAGCGTCTTGTAATGCGTTTCTAGATCGGCTTCGGTGAATCCGGTTCCGATCTTGCAGATGGATTGGTAGGTTTCGGAATCAGAATCGTAACAGGCGAGTAGGAAGGCTCCGTACACGTTGGTTCGTTTGCCTTTGCCAAAGTAGCCGCCAATGACTACCAGGTCCAGGGAATCGCCGGTACCTGCGAGATAGTCCTTTTTCAGTTTCAACCAGTTCATAGACCGACGTGAGGGCTCATAGGTCGAATCTGGTCCAGAGAGCATCTTCACCATGAGTCCTTCACAACCTTCTTTGACCGACTTGTCGAGGAATACCGAAATCTCTTCGACCGAGTTACAGTCCTCCGAACGCGCATAGTCGAATTCGTCTTCGATCGGCTGGAAGTGTTCCCGCAGCAAAGTGCGACGTTCAGCAAGGGATAGGGAGAGAAGAGGTTGACCGTTGAGATAGAGCAGGTCAAAGCCGAAGAGCTTGACTTTGATCTTGATGTCTTCCGCTTTGACGTCCTTACGTTTGCGGCGGGAGAGTTCTTGGAAGGGAAGAAGTTTTGCTGGTTCTTCAACGCCGGTTTCGGGGTTGAGTTCGGCTTTCTTCCATGCTGCAGCTTCGGCATCGAGGACAAAGGATTTTACGGAGGGCTTGATGCAACGTGGGATCTGCTCGACGAGATCGGGATACTTGACAGACATGTTTTCCGAGTTTCGTGAAAATACGGCAAGTTTGCCATTGGGTAGAAGATGGACTTGGGCACGTTCGCCGTCGTACTTGTACTCGCAGGTGAAAGGTTTGCCTTCGAATCGGTCGAGGACTTCGCTGATTGCTTTGGTGGGTTTCGCCAACATGGGTTTTAGAGGCACACCGGGAGTGAGTTTGCATTCTTCTCGCAAACCTTTGACACCACCTTTGAGCAATGCTGGGATGACGAGATCGTAAGAAGGCAGTTCCGAGTAGACAGCCTTGACAAGCTCGGTACCATCTTCGAGCTGCTTTGCCAAGGTCTCTTGCGACAATTTCGAGATGCCTTTGCCAAGCTTGGAAATGACAACAGCTCGAGCGAGGGAGACGAGCACAGAGCGCTCGGCTAGACCGATTCGAAGCTTGCCTTCCAGACTGCGGATGAGGAATTTGGGTTCTTCGCCCTGACAAGAAGCGAGGAGCTTCTTGATCATTCCAATTTTTCGATCTTGCGACTTGTTGCCGCTGACGACTGCGATTTCCTTGAGCTGCTTGAAGACTTGGGGCACCTTGAGACTCGACACTTTGAACATGGTGGGCTGGTTCTTTTTCGAGTTGAGGGCTACGAGGCCAAGATCACCCTGAGCTTCCAGGTCTTTTTTGATTCGGGCGACTTCTCGACCGGTGGACTGAGCAATGGCTTTGATGAGCAGCGATTCGCCGATACCGAGTTCTAAACCTTCGTAGTCTGGGCAGAGGCGGTTGATGCAGAGATAGACGACCTGCAAGAGGTTGTCAGGGGAGCGCTTGATGACACGGACGAGGAACTGGGTGAGGATCTCTGTGATTTCGAGACGCTTGGTGGTGGCTTGGATGTCGGCAAAGGTGGCAGCGAGAGCGGCATAGGGAACGGGCTCGCCTTCCTTCCATGTGACTTTGCCCTCTTTGACTTCGGAGGGCTTTTGAAAGATGGCAGCGAGCTTTTTGGCGCCCTTTTGCTCTTCTTCTTGGATCGCTGCTTCTTCGTGGTCTTCCTCGTCGTCGACGTCGTCGGGAAGATGCTCGCTGCGAGAATTGCCGTCGCTGTCGAGAGTGCTGATTTCTTCGTTGGCTACTTTCTTCTGTGGGACGGCAGTGTTGGCAGTTTCACTGGCCTTGGGTGGTGGTTTGGCAAAGATGGAGGCGACTTTGCTCGATGTTGCCTCCTTCTTCACGGGAGCGACGGGTGCTGAAACAGGAAGCACTTGCTCGTCGTCTTCGTCCTCCGACTCGATGATTCTACGCTTCTTTCGTTGCGGTGCAGCCGTGTCGTCTGAATTGGTTCCAATTCCGTTGGTAGAAGAAGCATCTCGCTTCGAGATTGAGGGTGGTTCGGCATCATCCTGATCGTGGTGTGAGAAAGTTGAGGACTCGGCGCTTGTAGCAGCTTCTTTTGGGGCTGATTTGGGGGGTTTGGGTGCAAAAGCAGATTTGATATCCTGCTGTCGTGATTTGGACGAACCTTGAGCGGCTGATCCGTTGGCACCGCCTCCAAAGAACTTGGCTAGCTTCGGCTGTTCCGTCATTGCTGTCGTTGTCGGCTTGACCGAGATTGGCGAAGGACCGTTGGGAATGTAAGGTGGGTCGCTTTTTCTTGGTCGAAATGACCGACAAGGGATGGTGATGAGAGTGTGACAGGTGCCACACAAATCAGCTTGAAAGTCGAAGTAGTATGTTGGAAGCTGTGAACTGCGGATCGCATCTTTCATGACTGAGCGCTGCTGTGACACAGGCGACTCGCTCTCACGTAAAACTGGCAGCTCGCGTGTCTGGTTTGGTTGGTACAGTAGACCAACACTTTCTTTCGCGCGTCCCATCGCTGAGCATCACAGCAGCAGACAAATTGAGGCGCGTTCATTTACGCCATATTCAGATCGCACAACACCAACGCATCTTCCAACACTGCCAAAAATCGGACGCGTTGCAATGCCTCATCCTTTGCTCTTGCTTCTGCCCCAAGTCGTGCTCCTCTTGCCACAATCCGTCCGTCTGCAAATACACCATCTTTTGCATTAAAAATCTTTTAATGGCCTTCAACTTTGCAAAGACAAGTTAGAGAAAAAAGAAAGACAAAAAAGTTGTCAAGCAAAAAAGGACGACGCCTACAGGATTTGAACCTATGCTCCCAGAGGGAATGGCATATTCAGTATAATTGTTGAGTGGGGAGATGCTCCCCTCGAATCGAAATTCGAGTGCCACGCGATAACCACTCCGCCAAAGCGCCAGACGATGTCAAAAATCGAGCTCATTGCGTTCATATAGCGCAATATTCCGCCACTTTTTTTTTTAGTCTCATTGTCGCACTTATGATAGCTCAAGTTGCTCTCTTCAAGCCCTTTGAAATGGCATGGCGATGATCATTCACGTTTGAGATTGTTCCTGTTCCTGTTCCTGTTGCTCAGAAGGGATGGGTCGGATGCAAGAAAGTGTGTGGTAGAAACGTATGAGCGAGAGGAACGGCAAGGTTGACCTCGAGCTTCTTGAGCTTCTTTTTTTGGCCCTTTTCCTGTTGATGTCGATGCACGTGGGGTAGGCAGATTACAAGAGGAGATCAATCGAAAGGCAAAGCCAGAGCACATTCCAACTGGGCTGCTCATCTTGTGATTGCCGAGGCCAGAGAGTAGCGGTGACCACCAACCACCAACTCTGAAATCTTGTCTAGAAGGTAGCCAAGAAGAAGATGCTGAGGTTTTGCAGAGGCGAGCCATAAAGAGGATGATCTGCAGCTTGGTGTTTGGAATGCAACGCAGACACAGACGAAAAGAAATGAGAGTTGCTCGCCTCGCCTCGCTTTGGCTTGATCCGATCCGAGTTGAGCTCCCACTCAAGCCACGCAGACGCATCCCTTTTCCCATTCGATCAGTTGAAAAGCTGCAAGTTGATGCAGGTCATTGGAGTGAATACAGCTTGCTATGAGTCTCACTGACAATTGACCGTCTGAAGAAGATGAGTCTTCTGGGCGTGCGGCGTTGAAGACACATCATGTCGGCGTCCATTTTTGTGATGGCGACTTTTTTTTTCTTCCAATGCGATCAAAGACTGATTCCTCATTACTGCACAGTACTCTGCTCACCTTAATCGAAATCAGATCAGGCCAAGGCCTTCCAAAACGACCGTTTTGGATTTGGTATATATTTTTTTTTTTCTTCTTTACGTTTTTCTCTAAATTTGAAAATGGCATGAGCGAGAAAGAAAGAGGAGATGGGTGTCTGTCTCGCTGTCTCTGGCACCGGCACTGGCTGTGAGTGGCGCGTGCAGACTGAAAGAACTCAGATATTGCGACACTGTGCACATGCCAGGCCTCTACGCGCCGCAACCAAAAACAAAAACAAAAATGATAAAAAAAAAAAATGCCAAAAGAGAGAGGCAAGAGCAGAGTAGAGCAGAGAGAGAACTTGGCTCTTTTTCCTCTTTTTCTACAAGGAGAGACTGAGCGGTCTTCGAATTCCCCTGGCATCGACGCAGCAGCCAATCCATCCGTCCAGCCAAGCCAGCCAATTGGCACAGCCAGTCAGCCAGCCAGTCAGCTCGTGCGCTGTCTTTTGTGTACTTTGTGCTATCAGCAAGCGGCCGTCGCCGCCATTCAACTAACTAAGCTCAGAGTGTGGGCGTGAGCGTGAGCGTGAGCGTGAGCGTGAGTGTGAGTGTGCGAGTCTGAGTGCCTGTGCCTGTGCAGCTGCTGCTTAGCCTCGACAGACATACTGTACACCACACACACACACACACACCTTCTTGGACCGGAATCCATTCACTCCATCCACCTCTCCCTTTCTCCCTCTCTCATCGTTTCCTCCTCCCTCTACATCGTTGCTTCGACCATCGCCGTAATCGACTTCGACTCCTACTCCTCCTCAAACATCGACTTTGGACTCAGCTCCTACCGTTTCCTTTGCCTCATCATCTCTTTTGACTACCAAGTAGCAGCCCATAACCACCCGGACTGCCGTACTCGACCTCCATAAATCAAAATTGCATACAAGTCGTTCTATTGGTTTTGATATCACTCTTTCCACACCGATTGCACGGCAGCGAGGCATATCTCTGGCTTCTCGTCATCACCGGTGCAAACAAAATCGAACTCCAAACGAACTAGGACACACCCATTGACCGCACCGCCCCAATTGACGTCAGCTCGACCCCGCCTTGCACATTGCATCTTTCGGGTGCCTCGTCCCAGCGCGTGTTTGACAACCGTTCCTCCACCGTCCGCCGCGCTCTTCCCCTCGCCACGGTCCTTCATCCCACCCGATTGCCTACTGCTTCATTCCACTGGATCGTCACTTTGCACAGTCGATATCCTATCGCTTCCAGTGTCGTCGCTTCAAAGGGAACAGCAAGACTTTCTTGTCTTTCATTTGCTCTTAGCGCTTCCAAAACAGTCGTCAACAGTCCCACCCCGCCGTATATCGCACACAAAATCAATGCCGTCTCGCTACATCCTCCGATCCTAGATTCCCTTCTTCGTTACCTTTTTCCTTCTTCTTTCTTCCGATCTAGCCTTTGACCTCGTTGGCCACTTTCACCAGATTCGCTTCATAAGTATCACAAGGAGTCGCCTACCATCTTCATCCAGCTTCTGCCCATCCGCGTCTTCTCTGGCGCGCGCGCATCTAGCCAATACTTGCTGTCACTTCTCCTCTCATCGGCGAAATGCACCCTAGACAACCTAGCGGTCCCGGCTCCACAGACGCCATGGAGATCTACGATCGTATGCATACACCAAAGCACGAGCTCGACATGTCGGACGCTTTCGCAGCTGCCATCCCTCCCACCGCCGATCAGCATCAGCCGCTCACCAGCGTTCCCGAAGACTCGCAGCTCGACACTCAGCAGCTACCATCCGCAAACGTATCCCCTTTCGCCAACGCTAATGCCCTCGACCCCAGTGCTTCGCAGACTCCACCATACGCCGCGCAGCACGAGAGTCCCAGCGGCAGACGTCTAGACAAGCTTGCTACAAGCTCGTACGGCCTCGTTCAGCCTGGAGGTCGTCCTGATGCAGCATCTCGCAGATCTTCCGACGTTGTCACAAAACCGCTCCCGGGTCTGCCCGGCGGCCCTACTCATGCAGAGCACACCTTCCTTCCCGCTATCAACAATGGCACTGCAGCCTCGACGATGCCCTATCCGTCTTCTGCCGTCGGCAGTCTCGTAGACCACCGCGCGCCTCCTGTAGATTCTCTGCCGAACCAGCATATCCCTCGCCCCATTGCAGGCTCGAGCTCGCATCCAGTTTCGGCCTCGGCTTCTCCGATGCGTACGCCGCCCAAGCAGACGGCATTCGACGCCGTCACCCCTGGCGTCGAACCTTTGCGCATGCCTGCCTCGATTTCGGTCGGGCCTCTCTCTCCGCCAGAGTCGGACCCACATCGTTCCATGATGGACAGCAACCGCAACAGCATCGACGACATTCGCCGCAACCACGCCGCTAGAGCTGCCAGGCGCCAGTCGCACAATCCTTCCGCCTCGACTGACTACCGCACCATCAATGGCCTCGTCTCGGATGCCACCTACACTCCCACCCGCGGTCACGCCCACTACCAGAGCGAAGCCACATCTGCAGTGCTCGCCTCAGCCGATTCGTCTCAACGCCACCGCAGAGCCATGGCATCCGAGCCACCTCGCCCTGCCAGCGTCTTGGAGACTCGCGCCGCAAGGATGGAAGCCGTTCAGCGTCATCAGCAGCACTCGCGCGTCGACGAAGGCAGCAGCGACACATTTGATGCGACCGACACCTTTGCATCCTCCCGCGACACTCATGTCGATCGCGCTTCCCAGCAGCATTTGCAACTTCGCGCTGCACGCGAGCAAGAGCTCGAGCGGGAACGTGAGCTGCAAATCCAGCATCACCACCACCAGCAGCAGCAGCAGCAGCAGCAGCTTCGCGAGCAGGAACAGCGAGAACAGGAGCGCCAACGTGAACGCGAAAGGCTCAAGGAGAAAGAGCGCGAAAAGGAACGCGAACGGGAACGCGAACGGGAAAAGGAAAAGGAGCGCGGCGACCGTGACCGTGACCGCGAACGACGCAGTCGACGTCTCTTGGGTGACTACGCCCTAGGCAAGACCCTCGGTGCCGGAAGCATGGGTAAGGTCAAGCTTGGTGTCAAAATGGGCAACGGCGAAAAGGTGGCCATCAAGATTATTCCCCGTCACACTTCTATGGCCGCCGCACAATCTCCCAGAGCTGCGGTGGATGAAAATGGCAAGCCGCAGCCGCAACCACCTCCGCCTTCAGCTTCCTTCCTGGCCAAAGCTGCTGCCAAGGATCAGTCCAAGGAGATCCGTACCATTCGAGAAGGCTCGCTCCAGATCCTCCTGCATCACCCCTACGTCTGCGGTATGCGCGAGATGATGATCCACACCAACCATTACTACATGGTCTTTGAGTACGTCAACGGTGGTCAGATGCTCGATTACATTATCAGCCACGGCCGCCTCAGGGAGAGGAGCGCACGCAAGTTTGCCCGTCAGATCGGCAGTGCCCTCGAGTACTGCCACCGCAACAGCATCGTGCATCGTGACTTGAAGATCGAAAACATTCTCATCTCCAAGACGGGAAACATCAAGATCATCGACTTCGGTCTCAGCAACCTCTTTTCGCCTCACTCGCATCTCTCCACTTTCTGTGGATCGCTCTACTTTGCCGCGCCAGAGCTGCTCAATGCAAAGGTCTATACCGGTCCCGAGGTCGACGTCTGGTCATTCGGTATCGTTCTCTACGTGCTCGTGTGCGGTAAAGTGCCCTTCGACGATCAGAGCATGCCTGCACTACACGCAAAGATCAAGCGCGGTCAGGTCGAGTATCCTGCCTGGCTCAGCGGCGAGTGCAAGCACATTCTGTCGCGCATGCTCGTTACCAATCCTGCCAATCGAGCCACGCTTGCTGAAGTGCTAGCGCATCCCTGGATGGTCAAAGGTTACGACGGCGCGCCTGACCCGCATCTCCCGGAGCGCACACCGCTTCGACCCAACAACCTGGATCAAGACGTGATCAAGGGCATGACCGGTTTTGAATTCGGTACTCCCGAGGCCATTACGGCCAAGCTTATGGAAGTGTTGACTAGCGAAGCCTATCAAACCTCGCTGCACCACTGGGAACTCAAAAACCTGCCTGCTAGCCTCAACGGTCTCAGTATGGCTGGCAACAGCGGCTCGTCGCTCGACTCGCCTGCTCTCAACAGGTTGTCGACTCGTGGCAGCTTCTCGACTACTGGCGGATCCGAC